AAAAATGATTATATGGGGATAATTAGGCATAATTTGTACTTATGGTGGACATTTGGTTGGCTACCAGTGCAAATCAAATGGAGTTGAATTCATTTAAAGTTTTACGTCAAAGTGTTTACACCAGAGGACTTGATTTCAAAACTCCTCTCAACAAGAAGGAGAATTCAGTATATTTTTCGACTGATGTATTTTAAAGCACCTAAGAAATAACTTTTTAAAAATATAAGCCACGAAAAAAAGAGCACAAAATTGACGAAAATGATGAGAAAAGTTTGGCTCCCTTCATTCTCTTACCGTTTATAATCACTCTCACTATACCAACATATTTGCCAGGTCTTGCATATTTCGACCACCAAAAATTATCTTTAAGTTTGGCTGCATCAAAAATTTACAATGAGTACAATATGTTTGTTACGAACGTTACGTTTGACAGAATTTTGATCACATTTGATAATTTTGACAGAAACTGCATGTTCGAGAATGCCGAAAATGCTGTCACATGTAGGGCTTGAAAAGTCCATGCGCGATTTTCATTTTGCCGGTTATTTTGGAGATAACCCCGCTGAAAATAAAATTTAAATTAACAACTCTGAGCATAAGATTTTCATCATGAATCGAATTTTATGTCTCGAACGTTATTTTTTTGCAAACATTCTTCAGAATGATGGATTTTCTTTTGAGAAAAATTGTTCAAACAAGAAAAATTGCAGAGCGTCACCATTCCGTGGAAGGGTTCACGAATATCGAATTAAAAAAAGGGTGCACTATCTGGGTTGATGTCAAAGGTCAAACAGGCAACGATGCAGCAAAATGTTTCTCTAACGTCACCGCGAGAGATTGATGAAAGCAGCAAAATTGCAACGATCAGTATTTTGGACTGCGGTTTTCGAGAACATACTTGAAGAAAATGTGATCGGTCCAGTCTTAAAAGTATGATGGTTTGGCACTGCTTTTTTGCACTCTTTTTTAAAGCTTGTGTTGTATATCGATATATGGATTTTACTCGCTCTTTTTGCAGTCGATTTTTTTGACACTAATGACAGAATTAAATGACATTCGCGACTGCCGACTTCGGGACCCGATTAATTATGAGAGGTACTTTTTAATTTCGTGATTATAGTTTTAATATGTGTAAATATTATCCCCTTTCACCACATATAAATCTGTGTAAAATAACCTGGGTGATTATCACTCCTCAGTCAATTCTGTTTGCTCGGATTTTAACAGGGACTTCCTGTCCCTCAAAATTGCTAACGTTCGAGACTTTAATTAATTAACTCCAATTAAGTTGAAAGGTTGACACGGTCATCATTGTTCCAGATATCAGCCATGACTCCCCTCTTTACATCAAACATTAGAAATTAATTCACTGCTGTTCACGTCAGGAAAAATAAACCCCCAAAGTTGAACATTATCTCATGGTCCATATTTTGAGGAACCTGCCATATTTTGAGGAACCTGCCATATTTTGAGGAACCTGCCATATTTTGAGGAACCTGCCATATTTTTCAACTTCCCCTCTGTCTCCCCTTTCCTGGGAGCTTGACAACCTCCACGGCCAATTGCAGCCACATTTGGGACGAGAAAAACGGAGCATGTATGTGTGTAGTCTACATACTCGTCTACGCAATATTGACAGTGTAATTTTCATGGAGCCTGGGAACAGGACTATGTGCCCACTAGTGTATGTAGTCTACATACTCGGAACCAGACTAACAATTACCAGCGATG